TCTTGTGACTTTTATAAGGGCACTAATCTCATTCATGAGGGTTTCACCCTCATGACCTCACCTAATCCTTTTTTTTTTGACTGTATATCATCATCATCTAATCATAATCATCTCCCAAAGGACTCACCTCCTAAGGCCATCACATGGAGCTGGTAGACTTTCAACATATGAATTTCAGGGAGACATATTCAGTCCATAAGAGCCATTAATATTTTTGAGTACCTGGGAGCTGGGTCTGCAGAACTAGAGGTAAACCACAGCTTAAATGCTGTGGCCTCCTTTTGTTTGGCAACTCAAGGACGACTTATGAGGATGGCCTGTACTTCTAATTGTGTCCCAGAATTGTATCCTTTCTTAGTAACACAAACTTTGAATTTTAGCTATACCCGTGTGGTCACCTCCAATTAGGATTACATTTTTTAAAGCCCTTTTTTGCTGAATCTGGTTATATGACCAAGTTCTAGCCAATGAGACAAAATGAAACGTGACTTCTGGGAGGTGTCCTTAAAAAGAGGGGCATGCTCTTCTTTCCTCTTTTTCCTTCCTGCTGGCTGGAAAATAGATATGATGGCTGGGGCTTAAGCAATCTTCTTGTACCACCAGGTAGAGCTGCTTATTATGACAGAGAAATAATAGAAGGAGCCTGGGTTGGAGGAAGCTGCCTGAAGCTTTGAATGGAGTTTGTGTACCAAAGACAGAACTAAATTTCTAAACTGTTTGTCACTCGAATTATTTTTGTCATGTGTATTTAAAGCTTAAGGAGTGACTTTGGTAAGGTTAAATGTCTGCGGGTAAACTTCATTTGCACAGTGGGACTAATAATACTTACCTTAGCCTAATGCTAAGGTTACAGCAAGTTAGTCATAAATCTAAAAGCAGAACCCAGGAATCTTAATGTCTCAAGCTTCTAAGTTCACTATTGTTTTTGACAAAAGTCTTGGACCTTAGATACAGTGTACCTCTTTCTGTTGGTAGCTGTTGTAACAAATGAAGAAATAGAAATCAGGATATATTAGTATTATAGAAGCGCTCTGCTCCAGAGCCTCATTCAGGATCTACCTCCATCATGAGACCTTCCTGCCCATTAGGCCTACAGAGGGTCATCTCACTCTGAGTTCCTACAACACACCGCAGGCTTTACTCTTTTTTTTTTTTTTTTTTTTTTTGAGATGGAGTGTCGCTCTGTCACCTAGGCTGGAGTGCAATAGCTCAATCTTGGCTCACTGCAAGCTCTGCGTCCTGGGTTCACACCATTCTCCTGCCTCAGCCTCCCAAGTTGCTGGGACTACAGGCACCAGCCACCATGCCCGGCTAATTTTTTGTATTTTTAGTAGAGATGGGATTTCACTGTGTTAGCCAGGATGGTCTCGATCTCCTGACCTCCTGATCCGCCCACCTCGGCCTCCCAAAGTGCTAGGATTACAGGCATGAACCACCACGCCCAGCTGGCTTTACTCTTAAATATGGTCCCCAGGTATCTCTCTGGTCTGTGTCTTAAATTAGATGGTAACCTCTCAGAGGGCTGGGTGTGCATCCAAAGATCCCTCATAATAATGAACATTGTGCAAGGCATAGAAAGAGATGCATCAAAGTGCTTATTAAAAATGAAAAGGTTCTATTCTGAATATGAGATGAGGAAAGAATCCTCTGGATTGTAGAGAAACACAGATAAATATATTTTCTTTTTTTCTAGATGGAGTCTCGCTCTGTTGCCCAGGCTGGAGGGTAGTGGTATGATCTTGACTCATTGCAACCTCCATCTCCCAAGTAATTATCCTGCATCAGCCTCCCAAGTAGCTGGGATTACAGGCGCACACCACTACGCCCAGCTAATTTTTTTATTTTTAAAAGAGATGAGGTTCTGCCATGTTGGCCAGTCTGGTCTCAAACTCCTGGCCTCAAGTGATCTTCCCATGTCGGACTCTCAAAGTGTGGGGATTACAGGCGTGAGCCACCACACCTGGCCAGAAACACAGATATATTTGAAACTGGCATTTCTAGTTAGTACTAAATATTTGAGGCCTTCAGACCTCAATCTGTGACATAAAGTATTACTTTTCATCTACTGAAATATCCCATTGCAAATAGAAGTCCCGCAAGACAAGGAGTGTGACTGAAACTGGACAAACCAGATGCCAAGATAGTTAGATTTATTTTTGGACCATGAGTCTGGGCTCTAGGGAAAGAAGAAACTTGTCAATTTCACTTTTTTGCTTGGATCAGAAGATTAAGCCTGGCAGAGAGATACTGTTTGGGACTAGTGGTTCTCTGGAATTCCTAACCTTCTCTGGGCTTGGGAGGAGTTGGGAGAAGAAAATGCATCATCTGAATGATGGCCATGGTTACAACAGGCCTCGTATGCCAACCAGAGGGAAAGAAAATACTTGCTGAGCAAAGTAACTGGAAAGCAGTTACTCATAGTTTGAACTAAGCTACATGATTGAAATCCAGAATAATGTAGATTTTTGGACCAGTGAACACTTGGAAATAAGCTTTCTGGCTGGAAAGCAGCATTTGGTGTTAGGGATGGAAAGGGCTATTGCAATGCTTTTTCCCTGGGCGCTTTGTGCTGCCAGATACTCAGGGCCATCTGAAGCATATTTACTTACTCCAGCAGATTTCTCAATAGTTCCAGCAACAGGAAGGAGTTGACCAGCTTGATAGGTGCATGCAGCCAGGTGGTAGAGTCAGGAAAAGCCTGCCACACTGCTGAGCCCGATGGTAACAGTTCCAACCTGTTGAGTCCCTGGAGGGTGAATACTTAGGTGGACACATGGATATTGATATCAATACTGCACAGGGCATAGTACTGGACAAGTGTCACAAGTTCAGCTGGGCAAACTCCAGGATGCCAGATCACAAGGGCTGTTTCCGGGAAAGGCTGACCCCTGCTGTTTACATCCTCTTCCCCTGAAGCTCAGTGGAGCTCACCAGCCTCAGTTACCTTGTAGACCACTGAAGAAATTCCCAATTAGCACACAGGAACATCCAACCCTATGGGATTTGAGACTGAAGATTGCAGCCATCACATGACGGAAGCAGAATCATACTCCAAAAACCTTGCCTCGAGTCTCTGCTTTGTCCTTTGCCAACCAAATGAGGCCAGGCAAGTCACAACCTCATGGATTATTCACTTATCTACCTGTAAAGTAGAGATGTCTGACCTATTTCAGAGGATTGTTCTGAGGGTAAAATGAGATGAGGCATTTGTCCTGTCCTCTTCAAATGCCATATTGTGATACTTTTCACTTAATTATTTTAAAGGCTTTAAAGACTCCATCTCCTTTAATCTTGACAACATCTCACGGCAGGGGGATACTATTTTTATCCCCATTTTACAGAGAGAAAAACGGGACCCTGGATGAGTCAAGTGACTTGTTCAAGGCTATGCCACTAGGTGGCAGACCGGGGATTTGAACCCTGCTGTCCAGCTCCAGAGTCTGACCAAGGCGCTCATTCCCAGTGGAGGAAAAGATAGACCATTCTTTTAGAAGTGCTCTTCATTTTTGTTTGGAGAACCACAAGTACTTTGTTATTGTTCCAGCATCCAGTCTGGGCTTTCTCGTCTGAGGGCACTGGGGAGAGGGGAAGTCGTTTAAGCAGGGAATGGTGAGTTCCGGTTTGCTGCTTAAAAGGATCACTGGCTTCTAAATAGCAAATAGACACACTGGCTGCTGTGTGGAGGCTGGATGGGGCCAGTGTGAGGAGAGGGCAAAACTGAATTCAGGTGTCAGGTGGGAAGCTGGTTCATGGAATCCAGGAGAGAAACTCTGAGGGAGCAGAGCTAATCTTAGGACCTCTCAGACCAGATAGGGAGGAGGAGTGTGGCACTGATGCTTACAATCGAATTATAGAAAATAATCCCTTCCTGCGAAGTAGCCCACACTGATGGAAGTAAGCGCTGAAGGTTGTTCTCCACATAAGGAGATCGCTCTGGGTTTCCTTTTGCCCCCCTTATCCCTGTGATTTCCTGGAGATGTCAGTCTCATTGAAGGCAGCTGAGCACCTTGCTCTGTTGAGGAGCCCGTGTGATGCAGCTGTGACCATTCCCAAGCTGGCCCTCCAGGGATGGCCCTGGGCAGAGCCCCCCAACATCTGACTGAAGCTCCGCTGAGCTGTCCTCTCCAAGTGGGTCGGGCACCCGGGAGAGATCTCCTCTCCTTTTTCTACCCCATCTCTGGGATCTCTGCATCCTCAGACTACCTCCTCCTCATCTATGCTTTTCCTCCTTCTCTCCCATCAGGGGACCAGGGCCTCTCTGCCCGCCTCTCCCAGAGCTGCTGCGCTATAGAGAGGCTGCCCCTTGCCCTCCAGTTCAGAGTGGGAAGCTAGGATGCCTGAGTTCCAATCCTGGATCACACGGACCGTAGGGCTGGGAGGTTGTGTGTGTCCCTCCCCAGCGACCAGTGCCCAGCACACGCTTCCCCTTGTCCCTTGCGACTTCTCCTGGGACAGCCGCTGTGAGACTCAGGATGTCACCCCCCAGGGAGAGTCTTTGAAAGAAGTGAATGCTCCCATTCTCCGCTCCAACGCCACAGCCCACCCTGGGCGGGTCATCCGGCGACTTCCCAGTTGTTCTTCCCAAATGCAGCAGGGAGGCAGATCTCTTGGCGCCTTTGTGTCACAGCATTCTCATCTGATAAATGGGGCTAGGAGTATTTTCCCTGCCTACTTCACCGGGCTGTTGGGACAGTCATGAACTTGAGCTAAGAAATATACATGCTCAAGGCATTATTATTAGCCAGATGAACATTCTGGTGGGTGTCGGCTCCTGGGGCTCTCTCAGGCTTCCTCTGGCAGAAGTGCCACGAGAAAGTTACTCTTTATCCCAGTCTCTCCCGGGGCCCACTCCGGCAGAGCTCCTCAGCTGGGGGTTGACCACTAGCGGCTCCTCTTGCCCCTCTCCCATTGGCTTTCACCTGCCAGAGGGTCGGCTGCAACAGGCCTCTTGGCCCGTCAATCAGGCCCGCCGTGCTCCGCCCCGCCCCTCCCGGGGGTTTATAACGGGAATTCCCATGGCCCGGGCTTAGGCGTCCAACCTGCTGCTGCCTGGGCCCCGCCGAGCGGAGCTAGCGACGCGCGCAGAGCACACGCTCGCGCTCCAGCTCCCCTCCGGCGCGGTTAATGACTGTGTCCTCTGCCCGCAGCCTCTGCGAGTCCCCGCCGCAGGACCGCTGCCGGCTTCCCGCCGCCGCGAGGGCCCCGAGCGAAGGAAGGAAGGAAGCCAGACGCGCTGTGCGCCCCGCGGAGCCCGCGAACCCCGCTCGCTGCCGGCTCCCCAGCCTGGCTGGCACCATGCTGCCCGCGCGCTGCGCCCGCCTGCTCACGCCCCACTTGCTGCTGGTGCTGGTGCAGCTGTCCCCGGCTCGCGGCCACCGCACCACAGGCCCCAGGGTAAGTGCGCCCCCAGCTTTGCGCCCACCTGCGGAGGGAGGCGAGGTCGCTTCGCCACTCATCCCTGGGGGCAGGCGGGGGAAGAGAGATGTCAGAGACCTGTTGTCCTCTGTCTACTACCAGGTCCCCTGCGGGCTTCGTTGGTGAAGTTGCTGAAATTTTTTTTTTTCTCCCATTGGAGCCACCACCCCTCCCTTTCTTGCAGCACCATCCCTCCCCTGCCCCCGAACTGTCACTGGTGGATTTTCTTTCCCAATCTCTTCTACCCTGCATTTTGCTCAAGACCCTCAGAGGTGCCTCCTGCGTCGGAGAGAAGCTCGCTCTCCGCTCATGTAGGGCTTCCTTGTGGTCCCACGCTGCGCCAGGTCCAGCGCGCTGGCGTTGTTGGCAGGCGGCGGGGGTTGAGGGGGGGTGGGTGGGTGCAGCTCTGCCTGGAGAGTTTTAGGTTACCCGCGAGCCACACAAGGACCTTGTGTTGTTGTTTTAAAAAGCGATCACTGCTCGTAAAACCCACAGCAGATAATTTTAATGTCCCCTCCTGCCGGGCAGGCACTGGAAGAGGGTCAGAGGTGGGGTACTGTAGAGAGGTGGGAGGGGAGAGTTGCGCAATGTTCAGGGGTCTCTTCCCCTGGGTTCAGTGCTGGGAGGTTGAATTACTTGTTGAACCTTGGTCTGATTGGAGTTTCTGAACGGCATGAAACCTGCCAATTCTGTGCACAGGACAGATTGTCCAGGGCATTGTAAAATCTCCTGGAACCGACAGCATTGTGTTCATTTCTGGTCTAGATTATCCCCCCAACACTCCCTACCAATTGGTCTAATAAAGAATTTCACTGCCTTAAAACATGTACTATTAAACCACCTAGTGGTTCTTTCGACTAAACTTAATCCAGGCAATCTTTGGCCAAGCATCAGTTTATGTCAGGGCAATTGCTTCTTAACTGGCAGCCTAAGAGTCCATGTGAAAATAGCTAGGATCTTTGCGAAAACAAGGTTGGCTCAACCAACTCGTGGTTCCTTTCCTGAACATCCTTGGGCCTAGCCTTTTACCACCTGTTCAGATTGCAGGTTGTTTATTCATAGCTTTTGCTATATGAGAATCATCTTTATAGCTGTCGTGTGGAGGAAAAGTCTTGTAATGCTTGACAAGTCTTAAAGACTGCCCAGATGCTGGGTTGATTACATCCAAGCCCAGCTATCACTGTGAGATCAGATTTGCAGCCACTTAGGAAAGAAAAGTGTTTGTCCCCGTGTTGGGCCAGCCCTTGCTTTTATGACCAGATGTGCAACAGCAGCAGTTAAAGTGTGGCAGATTAGATCCAGGGCGTGTCATAAATCCTCGACAGCAGGCATTCCCAAAGCTGGGGTAAGTAAGGGCTCCGGGAGTGACTTTTATGGATGCAGATGAGGATGCCTTTTAAATGAAGCTGCTTGGTTTGATATTAGGACTCGGAGCTCTTAAACTCTGAGGTCAGGCGAGCCATGCGTTCCCTCCAATAATTAGGAACAGTCAAGACAGAGATGCAGACCAGAGCACCCCGACTGAAATCTGGATGGCCGCCCACAGGAGGGTCGAAAGGAGAGAGGCCCTGAGACAAATGGTGGGGGGCTCATTTGTTTGCTGCTGGGCTTGTCTAGAGTCTCAAGCCATATGGCTCTCCTTCCTGGCCTCCTGGAATCAGAGGAAGCAACCTTTAGGGGAAAGCTAGGGACTTGAGGGGAAATCAGGCACCATGGTTAGGTTCCTTCCAGCTCCTCTAGTTTATTAATCTGATAGAAGTGATGGAACGTAAGCAGGAATTGTAAATAGGCTGGTGTATGTCCAAGCTGCTTCTCTCTCTCTCTCTCCCCCTCTTTCTTTTTTTCCCTCTTTCTCTCTCTCACTCAAATACACGCACAAACATACACACACATGTGCACACGCATCTTGGTGTGTTTAGAAAGTACCAAGGAGAAGGTGCTGTCTCGAGCATGTGGTTACCTAGTTGTGTTTATAGATAACAAGAGCTACCACTTATGAACATCTGGGCTGGACACTTTACATGATCTCTTATTCCAACGAGAACAAGTGGGTGGGTCTTTTAAAAGCCATTTTGAAGATGATAAAGTGAGACTCAGGGTGGCCAATCGACTTGCCTGAGCTTCCAGTTTATATGGATTGAAAGATTGTGTGCTTTTCCCACCGCCATGCAGCTGTAGCGAGTGTTCATCTGAGTGCTGCCATCTCTGTTAAAGAAAGAGATGGCTTGATGAGAAATACAGAACCTGGATACATCAGGGGAGTTTGCAGAGAAATTATTAACATTTTTTTTTTTTTTTGGTATCTGTATCACTTAAGGGAAATGACCGAATTTCAACCTATCCCCAAAGACTCCAGTTCTTTTCTATGGCTTATTGGTGGCCTCAAAAGTGTAGCTCTGGTTGTTGAGAGCGGCGTCATCCGAGGAGCAGAAACATCTGGCTTGTTGCATTATTCCCTGTGGGCGCTCCTAAGTCTCTTCTGTTAATCTTTTGAGTGACAGAGGCTTAAGGATTGGCATCTTTTCCAGCTGGCTTTCTAGGAAACCAAGAGCATGCCCTTTCAGTTTAACTTTATCTGGCTCACTAATTAAGCTCCCCCGAGGCCTAGACCCCAGTCCTTGCCCCCTTATTTGCTTCCTGCCTTCCTTCATAAAATTCCTGACATTTGTTTGACTCTGGAAACCAGCGGCTATCAAGTATCAGATTGGAGGCTATTATGTAGGAAGCACCTGATTTTGGAGTGTCTCAACTCTGAGTGGCCGCTTGGCTACCTGGGACGTTGGTCAGGATTCTTTTAATTACTGAGGAGGCAGAGCTGTTTCTTTAATCCTGCACAATTTGCTGAAAATGTTTCAGGGGATGATGGGATGGGGGAGGGGCTCTCCCTGGCTGATGGCGTCTGGCTGATGGTCAAGCCAACTGCCTGTCTTTGTTAAATTCTGTGTCTGCCTTGAAGATGGAAAGCTGGGTGAAGGCAGGAACTGTTTCTGTGTTGTCCAGGGATTTATCTCTGGAGCTCAGCAAGGGCCAGACGTCTGTCAAGATTTACTTCGTTGGTGTTGGTGGAATGAACAAATAAATGCAGATAATGTGTGTTAAAGAGTGATCACAGATTCTACTTTGTCTGGAGGCAGGAACTAGATTTAAGAAGTGTGAGAAATAGGAGATGATGCGAAGATCAAGAGGTCTGAGTCAGAAATGGAGTTTTATTTTTTAAATTTGACAGATAGCATTGTATTGTATGTATCATGCACAACATGATGTTTTGAAGTGTATATACATTGTGAAATAGTCAAATCTAGCTAATTAATGATGGTATTACCTCACATAATTATCATTTTTGTGGCGAGAGCACTTAACATCCACTCTTTGCATTTTTCAAGGATACAATAACCTGTCACTAACTATAGTCACTTTGCTACACAATAGATCTCTTGGATTTATTACTCCTCTCTAACTATAGTTATGTACCCTTTGACCAACCTCCCTCCTTCCCCTCTCCCCTCTTCATTCCCCAGCCTCTGGTAACCACTGTTCTATTTTCTGCTTCTATGAGACCAATTTTTTTAGATTCCACGTATGAGTGAGATGACGTGGTATCTGTCCTTCGGTGGTGGTTTACTTTACTTAATGTCCTCCAGGTTTATCCATGTTGTTGCAAATGATAGGACTTCATTCTTTTATACGGCTGAAGAGTATTCCTTGTGTATATATACCATATTTTCTCTATCCGTTCATCCACTGATGGACAGTTAGGTTGATTTCATATCTTGGCTATTGTGAACAATGTTGCAATAAACGTGGGAGAACAGGTATTTCTTCAACATACTGATTTCATTTCCTTTGGATAAATGTCCAGCAGTGAGATTGCTGGGTCATGTGCTCGTTCTGTTTTTAATTTTTCAAGGAATGTTTTTTACTGTTTCTCATAATGGCTAATTTACATTCCCACCAACAGTGTGTAAGGACCCCCTTTTCTCCATATCCTTGCCAGCACTTGTTGTTTTTTGTATTTTTGATAATAGCCATTCTAACTGGAGTGAGGTGGTATCTCATTGTGGTTTAACTGCATTTCCCTGATGATTAGTGATGTTGAGCATTTTTAAATATACCTATTGGCCATTTCTATGTCTTCTTTTGAGAAATGCCTATTCAGATCTTTTGCCCATTTTTTCATTGCATTGTTTTTTGTTTTTTTGCTATTGAGTGATTTCAGTTCTCTGTGTACTTTGCATATTAACTCCTTATCAGATATATAGTTTGTGAATATGTTCTCCCATTCTCTAGGTTATCTCTTTAGTTGGTTAACTGTTTTCCTTCCTGTGCAGAAGCTTTTTCGTCTGGTATAATTTCATTTGTCTATTTTTGCTTTCGTTGCTTGTGCTTTTGAGGTCCCCAAACCAATGTCATGGAGCTTTCCCCGTATGTTTTCTTTTAATAGTGTCACAGTTTTGGATCTTACATTTAAGTCTTTAATTCATTTGAGTTGATTTTTGTATATAGTGAGAGATGAGGGTCTAATTTCATTCTTCTGCATGTGGATATCCAGTTTTCCTAACACCATTTATTGAAGATTTTCCTTTCCCCATTGTGTGTTCTTGGTACCTTTGTTGAAATCAGTTGGCTGTAATTGTGTGGATTTATTTTTGGGCTCTGTATTCTGTTCCATTGGTCTACATGTCTGTTTTTATGCCAGTACCATGCTGTCTTGGTTCTATAGCTTTGTAGTTTATTTTGAAGTCATATAGTGTGATGCCTCCAGCTTTGTTCTTGTTACTTTTTACTTTGCTTTGGCTATTCAGGGTCTTTTGTGGTTCTACAAAATTTTAGGGTTTTTTTTTCTATTTCTATGAAGAACATCTTAGTATTTTTATAGGGATTGCACTGAATCTGTAGATTGCTTTGGGAAGTATAGACATTTTCACAACATTTGCTATTCCAGTTCATGAACGTGATGTCCCTTTCCATTCATTTGTGTA